ACCTATAATCCCAGAACTCTGGGGAGCTGAGGTAGGAGAATCACAAGTTTAGGCTCAGCTTGGGCAATGTAATGATGTAGCAAAACCCCTGTCTCTAGAGTAAAAATCATTTAAAGGCCAGGATTTAGTTGAGTGTGCAAAGGCTGTGGGTTCAATTCCCAGTACCACATAAATCCATGCATGTGGGCACACACACACACACACACACACACACACACACGACATGTATGATATAATCCCATGTCTTCAAAATTTAAAAACATAAAAATAAAACCTCTGGTACATGTCTACATGTGATTTGGGGTACTGGAAGCTGTTAATTGTTCTTCTGGGGGAGAAAATTGGAGTGAAAGAAGGAACACATAACTCTTTTATGAGCATGGATTACTTTTGCAATTTGAAAAATATTACCTTGAACTGGGGAGATTGAACGGTGGTCTAAGTGCCTGCCTGGCAAGTGCAAGGACCCATGTTCGCTCCCCGAGTACCACATGCCATGCAGCCTGAAGCCGGCCTCGGAAACAGGGCATGGTGACACACACCTGTAATCCCAGCACTGAGACAGGAGGATCACGAAGAGTCTGAGCTGCATAGCGAGGCCCTGTACCAAATAAATAAATCTAAAATAAAATAATAAAAAAATGAGAGATTGGGGAGTGTCTCAATTATTCTTCTCTAGTGGCTGGGACAAAATACCTGACACTCAAATTACAAATTACAGCAGGAAAGTTACATTTAGCTCACGAGTTAGTGGAGGTTTAGTTCATACTCAGCTGGCTCCATGGCAGAGGGCAGCAGGTTCTGGCCACAGCACAGGGAAAAGAGCAAAAGGGTGGGCCAGCAGCTGGGGCTCCCGCTAGCCTTTCTGCCCTGCTTACCATTGTATGCAGAGTATCTGCCCCAGGGCACTCACACCCCTAATCCTAGCCCTGGATCAGGAATCAATCACAAGCTTCAGAAGCTGCCCCAAGATTGCTTGAGGCTTTGGGGGACAACTAGACACAAACCCTAACAGGGAGAGATCAACAAAGAAAGGTCCTTGTTGAAGTGGGGGTTGGGCATTCAATATCCTGCAGATCAACAAACAAGAAAATCAGAAGAAAGCAATTAAAATACTCCAAACCACAAACTATGTAAAGGGAAATAAAAATGTGTTGTTCTGATATTGACGTGGATTATTAGATATAAGTTTAAAGCCATAGTGGAAATGGGAAGGGGACCCAAAAGATGAAGGAAGGAGTGGAGTGGGGGTGGGCAGAGGAAGGAGAAGTGAAAAGAATTCAGATGTATTATGTGCGTGTATCAACTCCTCAAGATGAGAGTATAATTATGTTCTGCCAACATGTACTGAAAATGTTGAAATTTAAGTAAAATGATGTAATTATTTAATTTTAAAAATAAGACTACACTTGATGTGTGAGGAGTTTGTGTTTGTTTTTGGTACTGGGAATCGAACTCATGACCTCGTACTTGCCAGGTAGGCTCTGTGCCACTGAGCTACACCCCAGCCTAAGACTGTATTTCGAACATGTAAGATTTCACTGAACTAGTGGGATTTTTTTTTTTTTTTTAACTAGTAGGATTAAAGCAAAGTTCGTCTCCCTTCCAAATTGTTGTAGCAGATTAATTTCAAATAAAACATTTTGAACAGGTAAAGAAGGAAAAAACTGAAGGAAGGAAAAGAAGTATTTCAAGAATGAATATATAAGGAGAAATACTGAGATGAAAGTTTGGATGATCAGTATATGTTTTATGGAGAGTTAAGGTTATTGAGTCCATTTATTCTGAGTGCTGCTAAGTGGGCTACACTATGCAGAGAGCAGGATCAGCAACCTGCAAGGCCTCTGGCTTTTCTGTCTGAAACAAGACTAATCCCTTGAGAGATTGTTCCCAGGTTCTTATACCCTTGACTGAGAACCAGTCCTCTAAGGGCAGGGGGGGGGGCGTCGGTCCTCCTCTTCAACCAAGTTCACAGCTTCAGGAGGGACACACCTGGAACACTGAGGGAAGAAGGGGACACCTGCCTAGCCAGTCAGGTCACCCTCACATCCGAGACAAAACTAATCCCTGGAAAGAAATCTAAGCAGTTAGGAACAAATATCTTTGTTAGAAAACTTGAGGAAAGAAGGCTTTCTGTCTTCCACCTTGCAAGATACCCAACAGTGTGGGGGAGGAAAAGGGAAGAGGTGGAAAGAACTGGCTCTGTGGCGGGCTGGGCTGAGAAGACCCCAGGCCCTCACTGTGGCCCCAGACATACCAGGTCCAGCGGAGAATCTCCAAACCCAGATACTAGAGGACAGGAAGGTGGCCCAGTACCAAATGTGCCCAGTCTGCCCTATCTCTGCAAGTTCTTTGGTACCATTTGAAAAAGGGCAGTGGACCACACAACCAAGATTGTCTGCTAGCTCAGAAGACTACCAACACCTGTAATCCCAGCACCGGGGGTGGGAGGGGGAGAAGGCTAAGGCAGCAGCATCACTGTGAGTCCAAGGCCACCCTGGGCTACATATCCAGACCCTGCCTCAAAAAAGGGGAAGATTCCAATGTTAAAAATTAAGTTTTCAAGAATAAAATGTCAATTTTTTTTTTTTCTGTCCGGATTCTTATTCTTCCTATTTGATTCTCTTATAATGCTATTTTCTTCATTCTATCTAAGCAAAACTTCTTTTGTTTTTGCTGTTATGTCTTGGGGGGGGGGAGATCATTTATGTGTTTTGGTACTGGAGATTGAATCCAGAGTCTTACTTTTCCTTATTTTTTTACTTTTATTTACCTTTTGACAGACTACTTATTGAGACAAGGTCTAAGTCTTTACCCACAATGGGCTTGAATTTACAGCCCTCCCACCCTCAGTCTCCCAGAGTGGTGGGGTTAGAGGCACATGCCACCATATCCACTTACAGTGGGAGCTGCAGGGAAAGTGGATCCTGGGGATTGAACCCAGGGCCTCTGTGCTAAACTACATCCCCAATTCTATCTATCTATCTATCTATCTATCTATTTATCTATCTAATTATTTATTCATCTTGAGACAGAGTCCTGATAAATTGAAAATTGTCCAGGCTGGGCTCAAACTTGCAGCCCTCCAGCCTCAACTCCTCAGTGATGGATTTACAGGCATAGGTCACCATGCTCTGCTAAAACAAACAAGCAACAAAATTTGAAGTTTACTCTTAAAGTTTGTTTCTTAATTCACCTTAAAGGATAAAGATGTGTTATGTTACATGCATCAAATAAAATACTTTTAATTTTTTTTATTTTGATGTAAGAGTAACTGAGTGAACTTCAATAAGAAACCCCCAATTAACTTGGATTAGCATAGGGCGTGGAAGACCCATCCTAGGGAGGATTGCTGCCCAAATGGTATAGAAGGAAGGCACCAGAGAAAGAATCCTTGCTTCTGTTTCTTCCGAGGAGGAGCACCGGTCACCTTGCACGTCTCTCCTGGCTTCTAGCGTGGACTCTTCAGCCTCTGGAGACTGACTCGCACAGCGCCCACCCCGACCTCCAGGCCATCAACCTTCCACTGGGGATCCTTTAGATCTGGGCGCACAAACAGCCGCACTGCGCTTTTCCACACCTCACTGCGGGCAGCCGGCTACACAAGTGAGAGGAGCGTGTGCGTCGGTGGGGAGAGATTGTCGGCCACTGCTGCCTCCAGCACTAAGCCTGTCTGCATTGGCATAAGTCAATCTTTTAAATTCTTATATACTCGTATAGCTTGCATTAAATCTGTTTCTTTAGCCGGCACTGACCAAAAAGTTCCTGAGGTCACAAAACTAGTAAATTGCAAAACTGCGAATCAATTTTCAGTCCACCTGCGTGAAGCCCACGCTGGCTGTTACTCTCTACGCCTGGAGTAGGTTTTGCCCTCCTCCCTGCACCTGTGGGCCGTGCCGCCTCTCAGCATCCCCCCACAGGGGGTACAGGTGGCTGACTTTTCAGTCCAATCCCATCGACACCACAGAACATGCTGTAGTGGAATGATCTGTGTGCATGTTCTCCTCCTTTGGACAGCAACCTCGCCAGCGCAGGAATCCAGCTTCTCCTGTGCCATGCGGTAAATAGGTGCTTGAGTTCCACAACAGGAGTTGATCACTTATGCCTAATTGTTGCCTCCACTAAGAATACTTCTGGTTTCATAGTTCCAGAAGTATACTATAGTACTACAGTACCTTACACTTGATCAGATTTTCAATAATCATTTTTTCAACAAGTAATCGCTTTTTACAGTAACTCTGAACCACACTCCAAGAATAAGCTGCTTCTTGACATCCTTTCTTTGTAATGAGTTAGTATAAGAAATTACTTCTAGCCATTAACATTTCAAAATTGCTCATCCCCCCATCTTCATCATTTTCACGCTCACATAGAACATGATCTGTGTTTGAGAGTGTGAAATTCTGATTCAGCCGCGGATTTATCCTACTGCCTATTGCTAGCGATTACTTTAAAACTCTCAGTTTAATGGCAGAATGTCACGAGTCAGGGGGGTGGCACTTGGAGGTGAAGTTCACTACTCAGTTAACCTCTAATTTACAAGCTTGCTTTCCCCAGCATAATTGTGTTAAAGTCGTACGTTCCTTGGTGTGATCATTTTTTTTTTTTTTTTGGTGTGATCATTGACGCAACAAAATCCCCCTTACAAGAGGGATTGATTACGTACGTCGATGACTAATTAAAGACGTGGGGATAATAGAAGAACTAAAATAGGATTTGTTAGGTAAGGCTGGTATCTTTTAAAATATATTCATGCTTTCATTAGTAATACAAGGAAAACATTTCCAAATAATCTTCCAAGAAGTTTGCTAGAACTGACAGTCCCGTGGACAAAGGGGGACACGAATGGGACGCACCACCCCCTCTGTCTTTGCCGGGGGGCGGGCGCGCTCGCGTGAGCGGGGCCGCCGGCGCCTCCCGGGACCCGAGGGCGGGGGCGTGGCCTAGGGCTGGTCCAGGGCTCCAGGGGCGGGGCCGCAGAGGCGAGAGGCAGGCTGGGAAGAGGCGCCATATTGGCGTCGGCCGCGCCGTATTGTCATAAATAGAGCCGGTTTTGTGGTGTTTTCACTACTCGGTTGGATGCCTCGGTCATAGTAAGTGGGTGAGTGAGCGAGCCAGTGAGCTGCAGCAAGCCACCAGAGGAAAGCAAACAGAGGGAGAAAGGAAGAGCAGGAACGGGAAAGACTCCAGAGTGAAAGACACTCGCCGGGAGGGAGGCGCAGGAAGCGATGAAAGAGATGTCTGCGTAAGTGGTGGGGGGCGGCGGTTGCGGACGAGGTTACCAGAGGTGAGCCTCGGCGGTCGTCGCCGGGCCCCGCCGGCGTCCCCTGCCCTCGGTCCTGCCCCGGCGCGCCCTGATGGTCTGCCTCCCCGCTGCCCGCCGGCCCGCAAGGGCACCTCCCCTAGACCTGGCGGCGCACCTGGCTCCTCTGCCCGGACGCGGGGACTTCGGAGTCTCCTTCTGCCCTCGGCTGCCCCACCTCTGGGGACGCCCCCAAACAAGGACGAGGGGCGAGAGAAGTGCGTGTGTCGGTGGGGAGAAATTGTCGGTCACTCCTGCCTCCAGCACTAAGCCCGACTGCTCCGTCTGCATTGGCGCAAATACCATCCCCCTGCCTCCCTCTCCTGCCAGCCAGCCCGACCCGCCGTGTTCAGGTCCTCGGAGCCGAGCGCCTAGCCCAGCCCAAGGGGCTTCTCTAATAAAAACTGAGGTTCTGCCTCCTCACCTTGGCCTCCCCACCTACCGCAGTACCTACTCGTCTGTACCTCCTGCTCGTACTTTGATAAGTCAGAAACAGTTTTTTGCTTGCAAAGATTTCGTTATACCGCCTTACGTTTGGATTTATTAGGAAATAATTAAAACGTACAAAAATAAATACCGTTTGTGTAGCCACCACCCATTTCGCCCCAAGAATAACATGCTGTGTGCATACTTATCTATGTATTTTTTTTTTTTTTAAAAGCATTCCTCAGTACACCTATTTCCTACCTTGGTCCCCTTCAGAGATCTGGACGTCCTGAATTTGATGTTTATTGTTGCACCGTATTTATGCTATTACTATATATGCATTTGTCTATAATAGCTGTCATTGTTTTACATGTTTTAAACTTTAGTATCACGCTTGTCATTCCACAACTTGCTTCTTTGGAGCAACATGGTATCTGTGAGCTCTATGTTAAGTTTCAGTTCTAATTAATTCATATTAACCAATGTGGTGTATTTAATTGTAGGGATACTCCTAATTTAGTCCTTTCCATGTTAGTGACAATTTTAGGTTATTTCAAAGTATTTAAAGTTACAGTGTGGCAGTGAGTATTCTTTTACATATCCCCTTGGACATTGATTTTTTTTTTTTTTTGGCCGCCTCAAGATGCCTTTAGGGCATGTCTGGTTTGGCGGGAGTATCTGGGTTCGAACCACAGCATCCTGAGCCTGAATGCTTCATTTAAGCAGGCACTTAAACCACTGAGCTAATGGGCAGGCCCCCCTGGACATGGATTTTGAGGAAAGTATTTTTTTATTTTTTTCCTGATTAGATAGATGGAGGTTCAGGACCCTAAACTCGATTTTAGGGCCATAGAAACATGGATAGTGAACTCCCCCTCCACTACTGGGGGATTTAATCCAAGTCCTTCAAGTAAGCTAAACTCCCAGCCCCTTTAAAAACTTTTTTTGAGAAAGGGCCTCCCAAAGTTGCTCAGGCTGGGCTCAATCTTGTGGTCCTCCTGCCTCAGCCTCCTTCAGTGACTAGTACTAAAGGTGTGAACCACAGTATGTTTGTGTGTGTGTGTGTGAGAAGTGTGTTTTATTAGAGAAGTTGACACGTGGGATCATAATATTTGGATTGAAGTAGTTTTGGAGAGGAGCATGGGATAGGAGAAAGAGACTAATTTTTTGGCTCTATTCTCTCTTGAAACCTTAAGCTCTTGTGAAATGCATTTAAGAGTTCTCAGAATTATTGTTGATTAAATGATCATTTGTGAGGAATCAGTCAGTTCCACCTATTTATCATATGTATATCTAAACATGAACAATACCAAAGCACCTCTATAGTTGGTTTTTTTTTTTTTTTTTTTTGCGGAACCAGGGATTAAACTCCGGACCTTGCACTTGCCAGGCAGGCACTTACGCCACTGAACTATATTCTCGGCCCTCTATAGCTCTTTGAATATAGAAAGCCAAATCTTTATAGAAGAATAACATCTGAAATAACTGAGGTTTTTGTCCTACAGCAAAGTAAATAGAGAAATTATTGATGTTCCCCTTTTGAGTCATTTTTGGAAGATATAAGCTGTTTTATCTGTTCCTTGATTCTTACTCCATCCTAGTGAATTCTTAAAGTTTTTATAAGTATATGTTTGTAATACCTAGTGGTACATTCGTCATGGAAAGTTGGTACATATACATAGCACATCTCAATTCTTTTTGCCTCCTCTTTCCCTCTCTCCCACCTCCTTTCATCTGTGTATTGAAGTTTTTAGCTAAGGAGCATGTCCTTTTCCTGTGGATTTACTAGTCATAAACTCACATTTTTGACTAATTAAAACCCCAGAACAAGCAAGTATTATCAGTTTTGTGGTTTTAATTTTTTTTTTAATATTTATTTTTATTTATTACATTTATTTATTGTGTGTGTGTGTGGCCAGCTCAGCCCACCAGGGGGCGGGGCTGGCTGGCATGTGGTGCTGGAGGATTGAACCGCGGTCCTTGTGCTTTGCCAAGCTTGTTTCAAGTAGGTGCTTTAGACCACTGAGCCATCTCTCCAGCCCGGTTTTAAATTTTTAATACAGGGGCGGGGGAAATGGCTCAGTAGAATAAGTGTTTCCCTGGCAAGCTCAAGGGCCTGAGTTCAATCCCCGGTCCTGCCCAAAATAAAATAAAATTTAGTACATAGTACACATTTATGGATACAGTGTTACATTGCAATTCATGAATACAGTGGGTAATGATAAATAGGTAAATTGGTATATCCATTACATTATACATGTTAGAATCATTTATATCTTCATTATCCTGAAATATATAGTTGTCATTAATTACAGTTGTCCCACTGTCCCTTCTACCCAGCTGCACCCCTGTATCCATTCATGTCTCTGTCCCCTTGTGTGCTACCTTTTTATGTGGTTAACATATTCAATAACGTTACTTTGTGTTTACTTCATTACTGTTGTGATTACCTTCTTACTGTTGATGTGAAAGGCCCTTTGTGAGATCATGATGAGAGATTAGGTTTAGTTGATTAGTATATGTGTTTATTTTCACTTTGCTTTCATAGTAAAATAAAATTGTACTGATTCTTATCAATTCCAAAATTTATTTTGAAATAATTGATCTGTGTAGGCCCCAAATCTCAGGAATTCTGTTATAGTTTATTCGAAGATAGGGCTTTTCAAATTGTCATTTACTGTACAGAATTTGATGATTATTCAGTGTGAAAATTGTATGAGTACCAGTCTACAATGAAGAGAACAGTTAATTAGAGTCACAGAATGTTAGGACTATAAACCCTGATTCAAGCAAAGGAATATAAATGTAGGTTTCCCATGAATAAATCTAGTTGTGATTTCTTTTTAAAAGCCAGATTATTGCCTAAGAACCTTCTGATGAGATGTTTTGTTTCTTTGGAAAAAGAAAAAAAAAAAAAAATCAACTGTTTTTATCAAGTGGTTTCTTTTAAGTGTTGGACTGCTTTTCAGATTCAAGCATCTAGATGGTACTTGACTTAAGTCTACAAGATACAGCAAATGTGGCCCTGGCACAGATCCCATTCATGCTCTTTGAATTTGAACTGAGTGGTGTTGGTACAGTTGTCCTGCCGCCAACACATGCTGCTTTTGGCTTGAAAAGATGTCTTAACTATGAAAGCCTAAGACAGTATGAGTAAGCCCTTCATAAATGTAAACATAGGGTGCCAGGGAGATGGCTCAGTAGAATTAGTGCTTCCCTGGCAAGTGCAAGGGCCTGAGTTCAATCCCTGGTTTCCACCAAAACAAAAACAAATAAATGTAAACATAAAATACCAATTTTTATTCTTTTTAAAAAAGTATTTATCCCAACTTTTAGCACTAAATAAACTTTTAACGTAGCATAATTAGCATGAACAGATTGAGAGGTTTGTTTGTTTATTCATTTGTTTTTTTAACAGAAACAGGGATTGAATTCAGGCCCTTGTGCTTGCCAGGGAAGAATTTATTCTACTGAGCCATCTCCCCAACCCCTCAGATTGAGAGATTTGATGTATCAATATCATATGATTTTAAATGTTTTGCCATTTCTTTTTTCTTGAACAGAAACACCATGCTGGACAGCCAGCAAAAACAAAAACATTATGGAATTACCTCTCCAATTAGTTTAGCATGTCCGAAAGAAATTGATCATATTTATACGCAGAAATTAATCGATGCCATGAAACCATTTGGAGTGTTTGAAGATGAAGAAGAATTGAATCACAGGTATGAAATTAAAAATAAGTACTTTATAGTATATTACCTAATTGTTAATCTGCAAACATAATGAGTACTCACTGTACTGCCTAGAAATACAAAAATGTCAAAAAGGAGAAAAATCTTGGCTCTTCTGGAGCTTACATTATAGGTGGAGTTTAGAGAAGACTGACAGTTATTCAAATAATAACTGTTAATTGGAAAATACAGCTGGGGAGAGAGGTTTCCAGAGACGATGTCGTTGAGAAAGTGACAAGGGAAAATTTAGAGGCGAGGGAGGTTGTGGTCCTAGAGGGAAATACAGTCTGGATAGAAAGTCTGACATGAAAATATATGTGGTATAGTTGAGGTATACATAGGAAATTCAGATCCTGGATGTCTAAAACTGCAAAAAAGTGAGGAAATTTGGGCTTCAGGTAGGCAAGATCTTGAAGGGTAAGGGCACTGAGGACTATAACTGAGGCATTATAATAGACATTTTGCTTTATTAGTGAAATGAGAAGCTGTGAGAGTTTTGAGCAGAAAACATGATTTGACTAATGGCAACACAGTCTCTCTGTATTGAGAATAGTCTGAAGTGTGGGGTTAAAGGGTCACTCTGATAACCTCAGCAGGAAATGATGATGCCTGGAAACTAAACAAAGCAATAGGGGTGATAAGCAGAATTCTGGATGTGTTATAGGTGGGATTATTTAATGAGTCAGTGTTAGGGAGTTTTCAAGGATGATGCCAAAGGTTTTAGTCTCAGCAGCTTAAAGGCTGGAGTTCCAATTTCTGGAGAAGACTGAGGGAGAAGTGAGTTGGACACATCAGGAGTTCTGCATGCCATCTTTGAGATACTTGCACCCTGCCTTTATTTTTTAAATGTAGATTTGGAGGGTCAGGGAGATGGCTCAGTAGATTAAGTGCTTCCCTGGCAAGCGCAGCAGCCTGAGTTCAATTTCTGGTTCCGCCAAAAAAGAAAAAAGTGGATTTGTTTATACCTTTACTGCAGATTTGTTTTAATAATGCCAACTGCTTTTAAAAAGTTAGCAATTAAGTTATCCAGTTTAATTTTCCCAGAGACAGGATCAGCAGTGAGAAAATGCTAGTCTCTTTTGAGTTTTGAAAATAGCTCAAAGACCAAAATACTGTTATCACATTTATTATGTCTTTGGCACTATGGGGATCTAAGAACACTGAAGATGTGCTGCTGCGTGTCAGCATGTATGATAGCATTAGCACATGTCCAGCGAGCTTTCACCCTGGTACCACGCACACGTGCTTGCCTTTGTGTTCATTTCTTTAATAGTGTTTGTTTTCTTTTTTCTTTTTCTTTTTTTTTTTTTTTTGACTGGCTCAGGATGCTGTAAGGGCAGCTCTCCTAAAGCATGAGAATCTGGGAATCAAACCACAGCATCCTGAGCCTGACTGCTTTGCTTAAGCAGGTGTTTTCTTTTTTTAAATTTTAATCTGAAATTTAAAGGTTTTTTTTGGGAGGGGTGCAGAACCGGGGATTGAACTCAGGCCCTTGCGCTTGCCAGTGAAGTGCTTATTCCACTGAGCCATCTCCCCAGCACCTTAAAGTTTAAAGTTTTAATCTTATTTTTTCTTATAGGCTGGTTGTTCTTGGCAAATTGAACAATTTAGTAAAAGAGTGGATTTCAGATATCAGTGAGAGCAAGGTAAGACTATACTACATGGAATTATTTGTTTCAGTATTTCCTGGCCATTCATCCAGCAAAAGGGTGTAAGAATTATGTGAAATACATCAGAAAATGGAAATGCATTGATCTAGACACTTGAATTTCTTAGTAGATGAGGGTTTACCCTAGAGGTAGCTGATTGTACCTGAATTTCCGCATAATTGTCTCCTTTGGCCCAAATGTAGTTGACTGAAATGTAAACATCAGATGTTAAAAGGCCAGGTCTGAGGCTTATGAAATAGTGTATCTGGTAACACTGGCCCATTAGGGGACATAGTGGAAAGAGTCTTGCATAGCACTGGACTGCTCTGGTACCTCACAGCACTGCCCCACTGTTTGCTGCACAGATAGGATGGCTACCATTTATGAATTTTTGAATTAGGGTGTTCAGGGTCTCAGTACTAGGTCAGACTCCTAGTGATCCGCCTGTTTACAGCCTCCCAAGAGCTGGGATTACAGGTGCACACCACCACACCCAGTCTCAATTGCCTTTCTCAGTGCTGGCCGGCACGGCTGGGGATTGAACCCCTAGCCCCTGCACCTGCTTTCAGGTGCTTTAATCCGCTGAGCTATTTGGCCAGCCCTGAATTTTTGTATCCCTTATGTTGGGCTCCCTTATTTGTATGCCTGCTTGGCCCCTGACATAGACATTTATAAACCCTAATTTGTAATTACATAATAATTTTCTTCTATAGTCTATTTTTCTTTATTTTTAAGTTTTTTTTTTCCTCATAGTTTTATTGAGAAACAAATAGCAATGAGAGTTTCAAATCAGATTGGTAGGACAGTTTCAATAATTAACACATTGCATACTGTCTTCCTTGTGGTTACTTGTTGTACAATATGCAGACATGATATCCCATTTACAAACACTATTAGAACAAATCCCTCTATTCATTGAATTAAGAGAATGTAGCTGTATATCTATCCTAACCATTTTGAATACACAGATACAAAATGGTCATTCATCTGTATCCCCTTTTTTTGTTTAGTTCCGTCATTTAAATATTATAGGTGTGTGAACTCAGCATTAAAAGTTTTAAAAATAAGTTTTTATTACTGTCTCAAAATCATTGCTATGAATATTATTTTTAAAGTTTTACTAGAATTGGATAGAATATGTTCAACTGAGTGATAACTTTGTATTCGTCAGCTTTTTATCAGTATAACAAAATACTTGAAATAGCCTACCTATGAAGAAAAGAGGTATGGTTAGCTCGCAGTTTTAGAAGTTGAAGTCTTCTTTTTTTGGCAGAACCAGAGATTGAACTCAGGCCCTTCTGCTTGCCTGGCAAGCTCTTATTCTACTGAGCCATCTCCCTGGCCCCAGAGGTTGAAGTCTTAAGATTTGGTGACCCCATTATTTTGGGATAATGACCAGTGCATGGAAAAGTGATTGGGTTATGAAGTAAGTTGATAATTAGAGCTTCAGAAAAGAAAGTCCATTAGCATTTTGTGGAAATTTTCAATAGCAGGTCCAAGAGTTCTTAACCTTGGCAGACCCAGGAAAACTGCATTGGCAAGTTTTGAGTAAAAATGTTACATACCAGACTGAGCAAAAGTACCGATTAGTAAATTTTATTCAACATCAAGTAACAAATGAAAGATTTAAGGGCAAGGGTAAAGCTTAGGATAACTATTAAAGAGCACAAGATTAGGGGAACTGTTGAATAGAAAGGTGGCAACAAATATACAGAATATAAAGCAGGAGTTAATAAAAAAGAGTAAGTTTGGGTAGTAAGATAATGAGGAATAGAAATGGGGAAAATAGAAGGAATACCTGGTTTTTGTCATAGGAAAAATATTGTTTGAAGTGTGGTTACTGAGGTAGATTGGGATATCAGAATTAAAATAGATAATGGGCAGTTTAATTTTTTTTTTTGGCAGAACCGGGAGGCAGTTTAATTGTAAAATGTGAAAGATTTATATGATCTGAAGAGAAACCAGAGTATAGGCAGTTTAATTGTGATACAAAGAATGTTAATTGGTTTTTAGATTCATTCTCATAAGGACATCAGTCAGGAATTACTTCACTTTCTTGAGAAGGTTGTAGTGCTAGAGTCAAAAATTAAACAGACCTGGCACAAAAACTGAAGGGGAGGTCTGGCCAAGCTGAAAGCTCATTAGTTTGTAAAACATTCCTAGGTAGCTGTTGAAAGTGATGAAGCCAAAGAAGGATTTGGAGGGGTCAGGTAGAGCCAGGTGATAAAAAAATGTTTTTCTTTTGTATAAGCATGTGTAGTATAATAAATGTTTCATCTTTCCTCTGGGAATATTTTGTATTTTATACAAGATGGCCAAAGGAGCTCTGAAGTACCTTTATAAATGGTCATACAAGGGTACATAAATATATTGTAAATATATAATTTGCTTAGCTAAACATAGTATGTATTTGGGTACTTTTTATACTAAACAACTTGAATGATTGTACTTTGCTTAATTTTATTTTAGAATCTTCCTCCTTCTGTTGTGGCTACTGTTGGTGGTAAAATTTTCACATTTGGATCATACAGACTTGGAGTACACACCAAAGGTAACTGCTTTTCTGTTGTGACCTAGTGATAAGAACTTTCAATAAACACATACTTTGGTCACTTACAGAAAATACAAAAGAATGAAATTCGTATTATCTCACTATTATTCCATAGTGATTATGCTAGTCACTGTTAACGTTTTGTTGTATTCATTTTCCACAATTTGTTCTGCATATTTATATGAACTTTAATGAAAGTGATATATAATATGCCCTTCTTAATAAGAAATACTTTGCTTTATAGGAGCTGACATTGATGCACTTTGTGTAGCTCCACGACATGTAGAGAGATCTGACTTTTTTCAGTCTTTCTTCGAAAAATTGAAACACCAAGATGGCATTAGAAACTTAAGAGTAAGTATTTTTTTGGCATTCAATTGTGTGTGTGTGTGTGTGTATGTGTGTGTGTGTGTGGCCAGCTCAGCCCACCAGGGGGCGGGGCTGGCTGGCATGTGGTGCTGGGGGATTGAACCGCGGTCCCTGTACTTTGCTAAGCTTGTTCTAAGTAGGTGCTTAGACCACTGAGCCATCTCACTAACCCTGGCATTCAATATTTTGAACTTAGTAATATTCTGTTAAAAGCTAAATTTTATGATTATTGAATTACCTCTTAAAAATCTTATTAAAATAACATGAAAAGATTAAGAACATGGGCTTTATAGTTATACAGAGATGGGCTTGTATCTAGAATCTTACAGTTCTAACTCTTAATTTTTGGTCTTGTTAACTGTTCTACTTTTCTCATATGTAGTCTAACAATATGTCGGTATAAACTTGGGTTTTGGGTTTTTTTCTGTTTTCTGTTTTTTAGTACAGGGTCTCATTACACAGATCAGACTCGCAGTGATCCTCCTGTTTTCAGCCTCCCAAGTGCTGGGATTATAGGCATGCACCACCATGCCCAGTCTCAATCAAACTCTCAATGTGCCCTGGGGGTGGGGCCAGTGTGGTACACTGGGGATGGAACCCTGGTCACTGTGTCTGCTTAAACAGGCACTTTAGTCTGCTGAACTATCTGGCCAGCCCTATTAGTGCTGTTTTTAAATACTCAGTTTTCAATTTAGACCCAGAAAATACTAAATACCCTGATGATAGCAATTCTGCCTTCCAATTTCTGACAAAATATTTTTAGTAGGATAATAATTTAGATAACTACCACTGTGCACACTTATGTATCTTAAATAACAAGTCACAAAATAGAAGTGGTTAACTTGAATGTAAAACCAAGAACAGTTTCACTTTTTCTGTTGAGTTAAAATACAAATTGGGAGCAAAGGTA